GTAGGACCGAGGGAGCATCTGAATAGTTTGCAAATACCAGTGCTGCATGATTTACCTGTTGGCAACAACCTGCAGGATCATCTAATGACCTTGCTGTATTTTAAGTTGCAGGCGCGTCCGAAGGAGCGCGATAGGCAAGCTAAATTCATGGAAAACATGTTTAACTATCTGATGTATGGCAAAGGCCCGCTCTCTAGTCATTCCACCACTTCAGTAGTGAGTTTCGTCAATACAGTGCCAAATAGTAACGTAACGTACCCTACCACGGAATTCCACAATATCTTCTTTCACTACAGCGACATTGATGCTTTGAAGCTTTCCACAGATATCTCCGCTATGCAACCACAGTACGCTAGTTATTTAAGCAACATTATAAACCAAACTGATATGATGAATATATTCAATGTACTCTCGCATCCAAAATCGACAGGACTGGTGCGCCTAAGTAGTAGGAACTATAAGGACAATCCGCGCATTATACCCAACTACCTGGATGATCCCGATGATTTGGAGAGTATGTTGCGCGGAGTGCGTTTCCAGGAACGTCTTGTGCGTACTCATGCCTACCGCGCTGTAAATGCCACTATTCTGCGTATACCTATAAAGGAATGTGATAAATGGGTATATAGAAGTGATGCCTATTGGCGCTGCTACATTAAATACTTCTCCACAACGTCCTTCCACGTAACAGGCACTGTGAAAATGGGCCCATCTGGTGATTCCACTGCGTGTGTTAGTCCTCGGCTACGACTGCGTGGCGCTTGGAATGTGCGCGTCGCTGATGCAAGCATTATGCCTGACGTGGTGAGCGCGAATACGAATGCAGCGACCATTATGATTGCGGAACGCGCCGCGGACTTCATAAAGGACGACTGGACGCCATTGGACGCAAAGGGATAATAACGCTAGGCGGGTGGTTCTGTATTTTCTATGCTAGAGCCGGAGCCCAGTAAGATATATGTATATGTAGATTTGTAATAGAAATAGAATCGCGGCTTCCTCATTTGATCACTTTTTTCCTAATGTTATCGTATTCTTTTTTTTGCGGATTAATAAACGATTTATTTGCAATTTTTTTTCGTCCTTTGTGTCAATGGCGAACCACAAGAAACTATTTATTTCGTCTTGACCTCTTTCTTTTTGCATATAAAGAATCCTTTCACTCTTTCTTGAGCCCTTATTTGAACATATTCCGCTGCTTTCCCGATGACCGCAGGGCCTGGGTTCAAGCCCGGTGCAAACCAACATCAAACAAGTAAAGAAGTATAAGCTCGGGCGAAGCCAAACTTTATATACCCAGCGCAGGTATCAAATATCGTCGTTTCAACTTTCTCTAAACTACCCTTGCATGATAAGTAGGGGTGTTTTTCCCGATTTCACACGTTTTCGATAATATGCTGAGTTAGGCTTAATG